GTTTTCATCGTCTGGATAAAACTACAAGAATCAAAAAATGAAGAGCAAAGAAGAAAATGGTCTTTTTATCTAATTACCTTATTCAAAGCACATTTCGTTGTGGTTAAAATTTTCCCCACTGAAACACAATCTGCTTCATTTAACGTGACCAATACATTGTTGAACTCTAAATGTATTTGATCATTCAGTTCATAGAATAATTGGATATGATCAGATATATTTGTGCCTAAATAAAGCGAACTTATCATACATGTATTCTATGTATTTCAAAGTTAAAAAGCTCACCCATTACTAGAGTTGCAGTGGGAATATGTTCAAAACATTTATGATTTTGACGAATAAAATCAATGACATTATCAATTAGACGAGCATGTAATTTGGATTTGATCCTTCGTAAAACATTCTCAATACTTTTTCCTTGTTTCAAATACGTTTTAAATGACACATCTTCGTTTGATAAATGTGACAAAGATGCTTTTGTTCCCTTTACAGGTTTTTTTATCAACCGGATAAGTTTCTCTAGTGAGAAACTTGCTCGAATCTTACCAAGATCTCAGAATAATGTTACAAAATGTTAAGATTTCGCTTACATTTGTCTGAGGTCTTAGACAACTCTTATTAAGATCGTGTGACCCGAAAAATTTAAGATTTGATAAGATTTTGCTAAGATTCTAGTAAGATCTTACTGAGATTATACTGTCTAAGTAAAGTTTTTCAAGATTAGGTAACAATCTGTTAGGTTCTGAATAGTAAAAACGACGTTTTCTTACTTATCTTTTAGACTTTGTCCAACAACATTCATTTTATTTTCCGCTAACAATAGCAACAAAAACAACAAAAGAATTGATAGGACGTTATTCTGTTTTTACTTTTTTGAGTGTCTTATTTTATATGCGTTTTGCAAGTCTTGCACTTGATCATTATTTTTAGTTTTTATGCATGTACTGCAATGGTTACTTTGATTTTTCTAACTAACCGACTTTTTCTCTCAACTTTTGTGATTTTTTTATGGTGATTTCAAACTCAATTATGTTTTTTGAGTTTTTCGATGATTTTTACTATTAGTGTGCGTGGTAGGTTTTTACGTTATTTTTTGTGACTTTTTATTAAAATTTGTATGTTGCTCCACTGTCAGATACTGAAATTCTTATGCATATGTGCTATTTCTCTGATACATTGTGGGTTTTTTTGCTTTATGAGATAGTTCGCGTTAATAAATAAAAGATAAAGACAAAGCAGCACTATACGAAACAGAAATAGTACCGCACGAAACCCTTCATTTCAAGCAAGTCGATACGAAACCCGTTCCACAAAACATTTTACCGTAGTACATTACCGAATCGACCGACCAAGAAGCTTTCAAATTAGTTGGAGATCAGTCAGTAAGAATTTATCGGCACAGTTATAACAACGAAACGATCATCAATGAGTAGGTTTATCGTATGTTTCGTTCTGATTTAGTAGTTTCGCCCATAGCTGTCCCAAAACACGACAGTTGATATGATGGTTGATTGAAAGCTGTAATCGACACACAAATAAAATCAAGTACGTTCACAGAAAAAAGTTAGAGATTTAATTAGTAGTCTTGTATTTATTGTCCACCATACACGTGCAAATGATCATTAAGAATACACGAAAACCTTGGTATTTCAGAAAAAAAATTATACTAGAAGGAAATATACGAAGGAAAAGAAAATATTCGATAAATATTCAAAATTATATTATATCTGACGCGCAAATAAAACACAAAAGAAAGACATTTGCAAATAAAAATAACTTCTTAATTTACATCACATATCAGCCATCTATTGTCGGTATCAAACATTTAAATTGCATTTCAAGATATATCACAGTCATACTCGTTTAAAAATTTCACCGTTACAACATCCCATCATTACCGACCGCTAAATAATAGAAACATAATACATTCATATTTTTGCAAAAAATAAAGCTATTCCAAGTCAACATTCTTCGGTCATTTGCCTAAATCGCCGTGCGTTCGCGATGAATTCTCTTATCTTTCAAAAAGATTTCTAATTCGCAATTAACACGCGACAATTTTCTTATCTAAATTCTTACTAACGAGATGTGACAACCCTAGACAAAATTCTGCGCACTTCCTGACTATTTCCTACTAGGATCTTACGGGGTGCTAACATTTAGAATTCACCTAATAACTTCCGAGCAAGATGCTAAAATGCCTGGATCCTACTAGAATTTCACTTACGTTTGCTTCGGATCCTAACGGAATCTAAGAAAATCCTATGACTTTCGGGTATATCTGATTTCATTAGGATTTTGTCAGGATCATAAGGAATTAAAACGAAATACTAGTAGGATACTGGTAGGGTATGTGTCGAATCCTGTCAGGAAAGTCCTAGGGATTTTACTAGGGAAACTTTCTAGCAGGCTCCTAAAATGCTAGGATCCTACTAGGATTTCACTTAAGTTTGTTTAGGATTCTAACAGAATCTTAGGAAATCCTACGACTTTCGGGTATACCTGATTTCGATAGGATTTTGCTAGAACCCTAAACAAACCTAAGCGGAATCCTAGTAGGATATTGGTAGGATATGTCTCGGATCCCGTCAGGAAACTCATAGGGACTTTACTAGGGAAGACAATCCTTTTAATAAGCTTGAAAATCATGGCTCGATCGCGTTTTTTATTACAGTTGTCATGTAACACAAAGTCGCGGCAAGACCCGTGTGGCGAATTCCATTCACTATTTTGTTTTATCCAGGCTCAAAGTATATAATTTCTGTTGATTTTCGAAAAATTTTCAAAGTTTTGTCACATCTTATTAATGTGCTCATCGTACTCAAGTCGGCAAATAATACCCTTGACTTTGACTTAATAGAGGAGTTTCAATTATGCGAAAAAGGAGCCTTTGAGAGTGACGGTGATGAACGGCCATCGTACTACACATCTTACGCAATCATATCTCGGGTTCGTGGTTTAATTCCGATTGCAGTGATGCAGAATAAAAGGGAAAAAGGAAGGAAAAAACACATTGTTTGTATATATAGACAATGCATTTTTTCCTTTCTTCATCCCTTTTTCTCTGTACCATCTCGATTGCCGTAAGAATAGCGCGACTCGTTTATTATTACTAGATGAAGATTGTAGTAAAATGTTCGCGAGTCGCGATCGCTTTTTGCATTAACGCATCAAATCGCGTATTGTCTAGCCATAACGGAACAAGTGATGTCAGAAAGACGACTATTATAAATGCCTATGACTCCATCGCCTCACTTGCCAGCATTATCAATAGATCAAAATAGAACTAAGTCTTACAACGAACACGTTACGTGATCCCGCTACGAATTTTTTTCAGAGACTTGTATCGCGATGGTGACGAGAAAGTTGACTTTGATTACGTAAAACCCTGGTTACTGTTGAAGTGCCCATTTTTAATGTGACTTACATAGCAACAGGATCAATATCACTTGGATATGGATACTTTTTGACTTTTCGTGCTTCTAACATGTGATTTATATAATCAATCGACATTGGCCCATCAACAGGTTTAACAGTCTTCTGATTATTTGATTCATCTTTTGACAACGAATTTTCATTTGAATAGAGACTGTTTAACAATGCAACTGCTGGTAACCAAACATCGTGTAAACCACGTTTCGTTCGTTGAGCTATTGTTGTTATCAATTCGTGTAACCGCGATAGCCTGAAAAGAGACGAAATCGTGCGTTCATTTCGCATAAGTTTATTATAGTATTGTTTTTTTCCATACTTCTCACATGCATCCGATGAGAATACTTGCCGCATCACATCATATTCCGATTTTATTGCACAAGTTCTGTTCTAAAGACTTCCTTTTTCCCCATCAAATCATGACAGTTTCTTTTAGAGTTGGAACCGATCCGTATCGACATGCTCATTATACCGACCGGTACACAGCCTTATAGAAAAATATTTTTTCCACGTAGCTTCTTTTTTTTTACAAGTAAATATAACAAGACGTTCTCCCTTTTACTGATTGACAACTGGAAAACGTATCAATCTAAAGTAATCATGTTTTTGTTGCAGATTTACAACTTTAACACTCTACTAAATAATGATCACCCTCGCCTAGACAAAATTCTACGCACTTTCTGACTATTTTCGATAGGATCTTACAGGATGCTAACATTTAGAATTCACCTAATAACTTCCTAGCAGGATGCTAAAATGCCTGGATCCTACTAGAATTTCACTTATGTTTGCTTCGGATCCTAACGGAATCTAAGAAAATTCTATGACTTTCGAGTATATCTGATTTCATTAGGATTCTATAGGATTTTGTCAGAATCATAAGGAATTAAAACGAAACCCTAGTACGATCCCGTTAGGGAACTCACAGGACTTTTACTAGGGTCAATGCGCCAAGAGCAAGGCAAATCGAGAAAAAACAAAAAACAAGCTCATCGTTGTAGAGAATCAACGTTCTTACACGCCGAGAGCAACAGTCCTACTTCAAGTTTAACTGATTTTTCTTCGCTTACAAAACTTTTTTTTACTAGCTTCCAAAAATTTTATAACGATCGGTATTGGTACAATTTTCTATATCGGCTCCAGCTGCAGCCTCTTCCCTTAGGTGTTTTTCTTACCCTGTATCATTATTTGACAATGGCATCATACTAATCAAAGTGAGTATATTGAACAATAGTACAGTATGTAGAAGACTAAACATGTCCTTGATTAACAATCTACAAATGAATAAATGGCATGCCATCATCGGATAAACAGTTTAAAGTGTTTTAGAAGAAGAAGAAAAACAACAAAAAATCAAAAGTCATCCATTCACTATTGTTCATTCATATTATCCGGTATTCACGTGATAATATTTATAGAGAAAGCTGATAATTATTTATACCGACAATAAAACAATTTTTCTTCTATAGATAGATACTACAGTTACTTCGCCCGCGCATAAAAAAGTTAAATATTTTAGATTCTTGAATTTGTTTTATCGTTCTATATCGGACCATTAATAGAACAATGATAAATGCTCTTCGTTTTCCGAAGCTATGCAGCGTATGTACATAAGTTATGTGCTTTGCTGTTTTTATAAAGACAAAATAAAAGAGAAAGAAAAAATGACAAACGAAACAGAGAACTGTCTACCATAATTCTGTCACGAAAAATCTTAGTTTAGATTCTACCACGTCGATTTAAGTAACTATATCGAAGATACATTTTGGCGTTCTTGATTAATTAGTACAAGAACGAGGTGGTATATTAGCGCTTCTTTCCTTTTCTGCCGTTTTCAAATTCGATCCCTCCAGTTATTTTTCGTTCTTGATTCTGTCACGCCCATATAAATACGTAGCATTTCTGTATCTATGTTGTGGGCACAGTCTTTTTCACTTATCAAATTAATCAAAACTTTCTCGGTTTTAAATAAAGATACTCAGAAGGCTCTTTGTATCGGCAAGATATGACGATTTTGACTCTTAGGTAGCGTTCTCTGTCAGACATATATTGTAGGCATTCAAGCCAATTTAAAATTAGTCTGTGCGTAATTAAAAGTTACGGTTAACCATAACTGGTGAAAAACTCTCATTAAAATTTTTCACTAATTTTTTGTTAGTGTTTGAATATTTCATTATTTCAAACGATTGATGATCGAGACTAGTATGAGAAGTGCTAAAAAGTCATTAATGTAGCAAAAGTGTGAGAAGGAGTTACCTTTACCAAAGGCAGAAAACGCTTCACTTTCCATGGAAAAATAGCGCTTACTTTTTTTGTTTTTTCTCAGCTTATCTTCCTAATTCAAAAGCTTGCATTTTTCAATTTTTAATAAACCGATAAAACTTGAGTATTGACTCGTAAACGGCTCGAAAGATTTTAATAGTAGAAAAATCTTCTGCATCATTTGAATCAATTTATTGATGGTTCTTTTCCATTTTTCCATTGAAAAAGATTGCGAGAGAAAGAAAATATTACTTAAAGATGATTATCTATCAGGTTTTGCTGATTCTAGAATCTTTACTATGATAAAAAGTTTATTTCACACTAGTTCTATTTTAAATGGATTTTGATTGATAACGTTTTTTTGAACGTTATCATTGATAAGAAGAACGTGCTTCATCGGAAGTAGTTAGGTCACGATATAAAATCTATATATGAATTAAAATATTCGTGTGTTGGATTGTACATGTTACTCGATAAATAGCTAGTTTCGAATAAAAAACAATCTGGGTCTTGAAAGCATCGCTTTCAACCTCTTAAACATTATACTTTTCTTGAAAAATGTATCGTATATATGCAAAAAATCTTACTTATCCTCCATAAAAATTACAAATAATAGCTAGCAAGATCACCAGCAGGGAAAAAAAGATCTCAGAAAATTTTTCTTCTGACGTCGCCAATAACACCCCTAATTAGTCAAGACTATAAATCGAGAATTCCTATGATATGACAGAGAGACAGCTATTAGTCTTAAAATTAGAACAGAATATTAACTATAAAAACAAAATATTTCTTACTTGAAAGCAAGAACGTCGCGGGTGTTGGATTTTCGTGGGAAGTGCATATTTTCTTACAAAAGCGAGTAATCCAAAATTCAATTTTTATGCCTCTCACCCGTCAAAACACAAATATTCTGAAAAGTTACCGACGTCGAAATCAATTTTTTTTTCAGTTATTAGAAGTATACAGTCACACCGACTACTGACGGCTCTGTTGAAATAGAAAATAAAATGTGTCGGACTGATTCAGTAAAACAATGTCTGAATCTATTGTAGATTAGAACAAAGATGTACGGATTAAATTCCGTCAATGTGACTTATTTAAATGATGCGTAGGAATTTTCTGTAGTTTAAACATTCAATTAGAGTAAACAGAAGAGATAACAGAAAAAAAAGTACAATCTTTTACGTTCTGATATCAATGTACAAAACATAAAAATACGTAAACTGACGATGGCTACATTCGTCCATATTTTCGCTTAGTATAAAAACAGAAGATTTCTACCACCACATAGTGTATGCTTTTAGGTATCGAACATGTCCGAGTACGCGTTGAAAATCAATTGTAAAACTAGACTTTAATATTGTAATTAACGCGTAAATTGTTTGAATAAAATTCGATCTTACGCTAAAAGTTGTGGGCGTTAATTAACGCACGAAACCAATATATTTTTTTCCTATTACAAGTTTTTGCTTTCTATTGTGAACGTGTATAATTTGCTCAAATCAAATTGTATGAACGCGTTTCTAAACTAGGAAATTTCACAAGTTCATATGTATCCTTGTATACTAAAACGTTTTCAACATGTTTTCATCTGCGTTGAATCCAGAAAGATATACACTGGACAGTTTATCAATTTGAACAAAATTGAATCTTCTTCAATAAACACAACATTTAGTTTATTCGATCACAACAACAAGTGATAATGCAGTGTAGAGTGCGTCTCGCATATCGATCAAAATAAATAATTAATTTAAATGAAAAGTTTCCACATGATTAACGATCAAGCAAAACATAGATATTCTGATTCGATTAGCCCCGTCGAACACAAACGATTTGCAAAAGAATTAGATGAACATCACGATGGAATAGAAATTAATTGACTTCATATCTAAACAAAAAACATTTAAATAAAAATATAGTACATTTTGTTGTTGTTGTTATCCATTCAGTCGGTGCCGACTCTTGGTGATCCACTGGACAAAGCGTCTCCATTCGCTTCTATTATCGACCAGGTTCTTCAATTGTTGCAGCGTCAGCTGCGTGTCTTCTTTGATCGACTCGACCCATCTTGTTCGTTGTCTTTCTCTTCTTCTTTTTCCTTCGATTTTTTCCAGCATTATTGTCTTTTCCAGCATTATTGTCTTTTCCAGCGAGTCATGCTTTCGCATGATATGCCCGAAGAATGATAACTTCAGTTTGAGCATGGTAAATTCCAGTGAGCTATCTGGTCTGATCTCGTCGAGGATCGACCGGTTTGTTCTCTTGGCCGTCCATGGTACTCGAAGTATTCGTCTCCAGCACCATAGCTCGAAGGAGTCGACTTTTCTTCGATCTTGTTTCTTCATTGTCCAGCTTTCGCAGCCGTAGGTGGTTATCGGAAATATCATTGCTTTGACGATTCTTTTCTTGGTATTCAGGTTGATGTCCCTGCTTTTCATCAATTTGTCCAGATTGATCATCGCTTGTCTTCCAAGCATTAAGCGTCGACTTACCTCGGGACTGCAGTTCCCATCGTTGTTGATTTGAGATCCAAGAAAAATGAAGTCTTCAACTACCTCGATCTTGTCGCCGTCAACCGTGAATTCTTTCATAGGTCCATTTGTCATCACAAACGTTTTGCTCATGTTCAGCTTCAATCCAGCAACGAGGCTTTCCGTTTTCAACTTTCTCAGGAGACATTTCAAATCGTCAACCGATTCGGCCAGCAGTGTGGTATCGTCCGCGTACCGCAGGTTGTTGATGTTTCTCCCGCCGACTTTTATTCCTTGAGTTGGTCCTTCCAAGCCAGCTTGTTTCATTATATGTTCGGCGTAGATATTGAAAAAATATGGAGATAGGGTGCATCCTTCCCTAGTGAAAGTACTCATACGATGAGTACGACTTTACTCATAATTCGTCCATGAGTACTCATATTGGTACTACTAACAATTTCTGAGTATTGTTACTCAGTGAGTACTCAGTTACTCATGT